TGGAGGACGGGAAGAGAGCCTCGTAGAAGCCTAAACCTGAAGTCCGTGAGGGAGAGACCTCGATGAGAGCTGGTGTTGAAGGTTGAGGGTCCATGCACCTTCGCCGCAATTTTGCAGGGTTTGTGCTCGATCGTGCCTGTGCGTGGGTAGGTGCATGTATATAATGCTCAACACATCTCTTGATTCTTAACACGGATGATTAGTTAAGTTGAGATTCAGGTCCGTTTCTCAACGCACCCGTCTGAGCGTCGCGAAGCTCCCAAGCGCATGCTTGAACCCCCGAGACTCGCGCAGTGTGTGGATTGTGGGTCTGTGGTCTTGTAGAAATAGAGAACCCAAGTGCTTGCAGTACTATAGGGGCCTTCATAATTAGAATAGGGTTTGGGGGTAAGGTATACCATACTCATATATTAAGACCCCTATATTCGTCTTCGGGGACCTAGCTTTGTCTGCCAACTTGTGTCCATGGATGCAAGGCTAGCTTTGCACATGGTTCAGAGAACCTCATACATTCCAAGCCCTAAACCCCTTGAGGCCCAAACCCTAAAGCCCCAAACCCCCTTGGCCTGGCCTAAACCCTGAACCCCATCAAGCCCCCAGACCGCAGAACCTTTTTTGAGCTTAAACGAACAGCCCTTTTGACCCCTTTCGCCCACCCGAATCCTTCTGTGAAGGCTTTAGTTCCTCTGGCCGATGCATTCAACCACCGCTGCCAGAAGCTTCGATCGGATAATCAGAGCGGTTCTCTCATGGTTTGGGTAGGGTTTAGGGTTTGTTGAGAAGCTTTCTTCTGTGCAACCTCCTATATAGGAGGGTCTTAATATCAGCAGATGACTAAGCAAGTTGAAACATTTGTTTGCCTGCACATGTACATAGATTTACGGAAGCATCTCACTTCCGGATCCCCTATGTGCATCTTACCACCCGGTACTTGTAGCACGAAACCGTTGAACTCGACCTCTCGAAACTGTTCAGAGTTTTGAGGTCTCTCCAGAGCCATGAACATCCTTACAAAGCCCGTAGCCGGCCTTCTCCTAGGAAAGTTCCGGCGGGAGAGGTGGTGCGTGAAATTCAGGAGGGTGAAGGCTCGCCTTGGCTCTTGTGGGGTCTCCGGGGGCTGAGTTGGCTTCAAAGGGTTTAGGGTTTAGGGATACGTAGGGTTCTTTTAAGGGGTCCTGTACGGGTAGTATAGGGTTTAGGGTGTGGGATTTAGTCGTTTAGGGTTTCAGAATTTGGGCTCGGGGCCAAGAGGCCAAGATTTCTCCCTCGGCAAGTGCAGAACCCACACCCTAAACACCCGATGTGGTGGGGCTTGGGGGTAACTTGAGGCCTGCCTGAGTTGTTCAACCTGCCCCATCCTCAGCCCTTCCAGTAAAGCCCACACCCCAACTCCCGACCCCTAGACGAAAAACGCCTAGACCATCGTGGAGCTCGTAGGGCGTACCCTCAGTAGTACCCTGTTGCCAAGTTGTGGTGGCTTCCTGATTAAAGCTGAATAACAAATAACGAACAAAGGGTACAAGGTACGCTCATGATTCAGGGTTTTCGGAGCAACCTAGAATAATCTGCCTAGGGAGCATGGGTAACCGTAGTCAAACGCTGTGACCCGTACAAACCGACCAGGGGACACTGGGGAAGACCTATATAGAATGCTGTAGTATGAGCATAGCAAGGAAGCCCGAAGAACGAATACCATTTGGTTGGGTTTCCTTTGTGTTGAATCGCAAGGGTGCAGTGTACTTGCAAGGAAGGCAGACAGGAATTTGTTTGTATCAGTGGAGCTACCCACCCTAAGCCCTAAACCCGAACTTCTGAAACAGCTCGCTACGGGGGTTTTATGCCTCCCTGCCTTCGCAATTGTTTGCGCGAGGCTCTTGTCAGAAATCCTAGAAGCGTCCATGAGACATTTTGTTAATTGCCACGGAACCCGGAGATAACCACACAGTCCCGCACGGCTCGGGGTCTAGAGCTTCAAAGGTTTGAATAAGCCTTCGATCCCAGCCCACATACTGCGATGAGCTTTCGCCTTGCTCAGGCGCAGCCGCGCTGCCGCTCAAGGTGACAGGGGGCCACTCGGCATCTGAAGGGAACTCCCAGAATCCCAGAACTCCAGCTGTCTGGGCCACCGTCTCTAATATGTAGCCATCGTTTAGTAAAGATTACTGGGTTTCTAGCGGCAGTATAGCTTGCTGGGTAATTTCCTGTCGCTGTGCGGTACAAAATGGTCAGGTTTTAGAGCCCAGCCGATTGACAGGGCCGTACAGCCCACTTTGGACTACCAACACCTATCTTTTTGTGGGGTCCAATAAATTCTGCATTAGGGGTTATAGTCAGAGCCTACAAAAGCAGGTAATGGTAGGTTAAACATACTTCAAGGCAAGTCCTAAACCGGAGTAGTCCTGGAAGCTTTGAGCCCTAAACCCCGAACCCTCCCCGTGCGGAGGCGCGGCAGCACCTTTCGCGCCCTGGTTGGGGCCCGTGCCGCCCATGCATCTAGTTTCAAGCTGCTCTCTAGATTCGCCACGGTTTGTTCCGGGCGAGAGCCATTTGGAATGTGCTTACTAATGTATTATTGTTATTGCAGTATTGTTACGATTGTTGTTGTATCCTTAGTATGTTTTCTTGGTGGGGTTGTGATCTCGGGTTATGACGTTTTTGTGTGGTTCTGGTATCTGGTGTTCGTCAGGCGCCTCCTGGCGAGCAGTTTGGATGCTGACTCCTTGTGCCAACCACCTTAACTGGACAAAAACCCTAGCTCCTAAATCCAGCGCCCTGATGCTTGTAGGCCTTGTAAGCAGTGACACGATGCAAGTCTTTCATGACACCATCACTCTGGGCTCCCCTGCTGACGATTTATGCAGAGGGACTCGGGTTGGACTTTTGGAGGATCTCATGTCCTAGGTTCAAGACTTAGTTCAAAGTTGTGAGACGCTGCAGGGCCCCAAGACTCTATGTTTTTTTAAATTCTAAGCCTTCCACCCTAACTAAACCAGCCCCTAATCAGAAATCCTACTGACCTCGAGACTGGACAAATAAGACCACACACGAAGCAGCAGCCTTTTTCGGTTCTCGCTGCTGCTGCACCTAACCTAGTGCTAGTTCGTACCTACATCTATAGTATAGTATCCCCCACAGCGCCGTGGTAATTGTTCAGGCCTCTATATGTAAAGCCCCACTTTGAGTAACCCTGAAAGAACCCTTTTTAAAGGAATCCTATCCACCAGCGAGCCCTGACTCCAAGCCCCAGGGCTCTGGCCTAACATCGCGGAAGCCAAAAGCCTAAGCGCGAAAGCCTCAACCCGGCAGACGCGCCATGTGAGGCAGATCGCCCTGGCAGAGAGCAGGATGGTCCCTGAAGGCAGCCGGTACGCACCAGGAATTTGCAAAAATTTATAGGGCTTAATTAGGGTTTAGCGGTATAGAACGGGTGTTTACACCAGCCTTGCGAGGATTTCGGTGGTTTTAGAAGAGGCCGAGAGACTCACAAATCCCTGACTATCGAGTCGGCGGGGTAAGTTTGGAGGGGCTTCCGTAAGGTTCCTCAAGCTTCAGCGTGCTACAGAGTCGCTTGTTCATGCAGTTGTGCTGTGAGCGTAGACGTGAACTGGGGGATTTGGGATCCTCAGCCCTGAAAGTTTTGACCCTAAAAGCCTGAATCCCGGATCTGAGCTTGTCATACCAAGGCAGATACTGTCAGCATAAGAGCCTCCAAAGACCTTTGTGAATCTTTACAAGACCTCAAAGAGCCACAGGGAATCCATAAATAAAGCCATAGAGATCCCTTGTATTAAGTCCCTAGAGCGCCCTGAAGCCCTCTCTGTATATATATATATATAATTATAGTTATAATTATACTAAACTTAAAATTATAGTTATAATTCTAACTGTAGAGAATAAAGAAACAGAGCCCTGTAAAGCCCGGACCAGTCACCGCAGGTGCCAAGCCGAAGCGCCAAGTCCCTCTGCGAGCTTAGGGTTTAGGGTTTAGGGTTTGCGCGGACAGGGGTTGAGGGGTCTCTGAGTTTTTTTTGGGCTTCCCTGAAGGGTTCCTGAAGGGTTCCTGCAATGGGCTAAGGGTTAGAGTGGCTTAGGGTCTTGGGTTTTTTTGGATAGGCACTTTAATTCTGAAGTTTCAGGTTCAGGGTCTGATTTCCGGTTTCGTGTTCAGCCTGGCTGGCAGATGCAAGGGTTATCGGGTTTCGGGCTCAGAGTTCAGAGTCTGACTTGGGTGAGTGGGTGGTAGAGGGGTCGGAATCATCAGGCTTAGCATCACCGCATAGAGCCTGTATAGTCTGCAAAGTTTTGCTAAAATTGGCCACAAAAGGCCTGTTCGAGTATAAAAAGGCCCCCTGTTGAAGACAGTCTCGCTGCATCCCTGCCACCAAAACGAAGCGCGAGCAAACACATGGTTCGTGTTACGTCGTCACTACAAGCATGCAAACTCTAAGCCTTAAGCCCCCAAACCCTAAACCTCAAACCCAAACAGAAATCAAGAATGAACACTTATATAAGCCCTGTACCCTCGAAGCCCTGAACACCGGACCCCCCCGGCGGTCCCAACTCTTCCCGAAACCGAAGAATTGCAATCCGCAGCCCTATGCTGTAAACTGTTTAGGGCTTTAGGGCTTTATCGGGGTTAGGGCTTTAGGGCTTTGGGGACTCGAGGCCTCCGTAAAGCTTGAGCCGCGAGTGCGGGTGATCGAATACCAACCGTTATAATGCGTGGATCTGAATGCCTAAAACTGTTCACCCTGTCTTCTAAGTACTCACGCTCTAATCCCCTTACACAGAACACTGTCAAACTCCAATAACAATTCCTCGAGCTTTCATGTACTACAGGGGCCCAAATACCCCAAAACCCTGTTCGAATTGTTAAGGCCGGCCCCTAAACCCTAAACCCTCATAGCATCCCTCATAGAACCCTTTTAGGAACCCGTTTAAAGGGAGCCCCAAAACCCTTCTTCTAATTGTTAAGGCCCCCGTATTACTTCAAGCCTGAGGTTGGCAGAAAGACTGGCGCAGGCCCATCTGGGCAGCTAATGATCTACGTCCTGACCGAAGCCTGTCCTAACCTTCTGGAGGGTTTACAGCTTCTTGAGTTTTTCAGATACAAGGCTCCCATGGAGGTACTGTGTCTCGGTCGCTCAATTTCCCAGGGACGCGAAGTTTGGTCATCGTGCCTCTTTCAGAAGCTGGCCCTTGGAAACAGGGGCTGGGCTTAGTTGTAGTAGATCACTATCATGGGCTGTATACATATCTACCTACAGCGGCATACGCCTACTGTATCCTAGGCAGTATTTGGGAGACCCCTTAAAGGGGACGCTTCTGAACCCTACTTCTGGCCCTCTTAAAGGGGACCGTATTGAGAGGGTCTAAATCCTCAACGGTCCCCCAAATCCTAACTCCCATTTTATGGGTATATATGTATGTACAAACTGTTCTCTAAGCATGATGTATGTATGGAATGCTAATGCTAATGCCGCTAATGCTGCTAATGCTAATGCTAATGCTAATGTAATGCTAAAGTAAAGTACAGTAAAGTAAAGTAATGTAATTTAATGTAGCGTTTTGTCATGTAATGTCATGTAATGCCATGTAATGTCATGTAATGTCATGTAGTGTAATGTAATGTAATGCAGTGTAATGTAATGTAAGGAAATGTGAGGAAATGTAATGTATTGCGAATGCATAGTGTAGTGTAATGTAATGTAATGTAATGTAATGTAATGTAGTGTAGTGTAGTGTAATGTAATGTAACGTAATGTAGCGTAATGCAATGCAATATAATGTATGTATGTATGTATGTATGTATGTATGTATGTATGTATGTATGTATTTATGTATGTATGTATGTATGTATGTATGTATGCATGCATGTATGCATGTATGCACGTATACATGCATGCGATTGTGTATTTATGTATGTATGTATGTATGTATGTACGTATGTACACGTGTCTCTGTGTGTGTATGTATTGGCGCACGCACATCAGATGTTCCTAGGCACTTACACACGCATGCATGCATGCATGCATGCATGCATGCATCTAATTTTCAGAACCAGGTGTCTGCACATACATATGCACACATAAAACTGTCACTGCCTTATACACATACCCACACGCACTTACAATCAACTTGTGCTTTCATGTGTCTAGCTACCTACACGCTTTCATACATGCCCCTCTTGCTTATCCTGAACCGAGATCCTGGTCGTGCCTGACCTATCACCTGAAACCTCCTACAATCCTGCGGAGAACTGCTGGAGTTGAGGGTTGAGGTTTTGTTTCTCCAGGACTCCAAACCTAAACCCTAAGCTTTCGATGCCCCGAGCCCTTTGAGGAAATACCAGCCGACACGGAAATCTTCAATACCTACGGGGAGTTCTCCAACGACAAGCTCCTTCAAGGCCTTCTGCGTGGGCTCGGGATGCACTTAAAGCTAATACGTAGTAGTAGTGGTAGTAGTCGTTGTCGTCGTCGCAGTCGCAGCAGTGGTGGTGGCGATATAGCTTATTTAACCCTGCGGGGTACTACACTCCCCATGTAATTCAGCAAGTATGCTAAACTTACCCTGAAGGTTTGACATGTGCCGCCGGCCCATAAGATCAAAGCTCCAGCACTGCAGGGTTTTTGATTTCTCAAACCCGACATCACAAACTCCTAGGCTCCCGGACCCTAAACTTATCCAAAGCCTAGAATCGGGCCTAGAACCCGCAACCAAACATTCTGCAGACTACGGCTTCGTGCTGGAGCAGAACGCTTTCAACACCGTCACGCTTGCAAGGAGCATGTTGGCAGAAGGCTCAGAGCAAGCCCAAACTTGCCCGGAGTGCGGTTGTTGACATTAGCGGGTCCTTTTGGCTTAAGGGGTCGGCATGCTAGCTTTTCTGGCATTTTTTGTGGGTTTCTACATTAGAGCCTTCCTCGTTTGCTAAGCTCCCTTCCAGCTCCAACAAAAAGGCGGTGTGGCGGTGTGATGAACGGAAAATGACTTGGCGTGAGGTTGGGAATCAAGGGTTTACAGCCCAAGTCTAATTCTTTAAACAGTAGAATCTGACAGTGTTTTTCCACCAAGAAAAAATAACGTGCCCTAAGTTCGAGCTTACCTGGTAAAATCCTTGTTATCAGGATCCCCATATTTTACTGGGTAGGGCACCCGTGATTTGTGCAGCCACCCCTCAATCTAAAGCCTTCGCACTACCCCCCCTGAAGAGCTTTATCACAGCCCTGTGAAACCCTGGAAAGGACCTCTTAAAGGGAGCACTTCATTGTGGAAGCCACATATCAGCAGACTAGAGTTTTAGAGACACCCTTGGGCATTCAGGGTTTAGTAGAGCATGGTTCGGTCGGCTTCTGGGACCTGAACGGTCAAGTTTCTCACGCTTTTCCCTACAGACGAAGTCCCCCAGACCAATTACTGTAGCCGGCGCTGTCGAATGCTGCAAGCTCTCGCATCCAGGACCGAACATTAACATGCCGATAAGCCGTTGTCCGCAAACTTTAGCAGAAACTGTAGCACCATGCCGCAGGCATTCGGAGCCACAGATCCTAAAAGTTCGTCTTTCCAGATTTCACCCGAGCCTCCATCTCTTTGCCCCTAGTTGTCTGCACTGAACTCCAGCGATTGCACGGTGTTGGAATACAGCAGCCTTCCACCCCAGAACCCAAGAGTAGCAGAATAACCCTACCCATAGGCCCCTAAGTAGTTCCTTTTTATGGTTTATATTTCGAATCCTGCCCGGTAATCCCGAAAAGGAGATACTTAGGGGCCTATGGGTAACCCGAACCCCGCCCTCTCCCCCCTAAAGAATGAGGCCCCTGGGCGGCGCTTTCGTCGTCAGCTACGCTTCGCCGCACAGCACGCGGCTGTTCTCGGCCTCACCCAGGACAAGCGGCCGAATCTTGAAGAGTTGCTTCCCCCAGACCACATGATCTGAAGTTAAGGACTCGCCGAATCGGCCCAAAGCCACACACCCTTAACCTTTTCCTCCTTGCACCCTTAAGACCTAAGCTCTAAACCCTATAGGCCCTATAGCCCCTATGAGCCCTCAACACCACAAAGCCTAAACCTTAAATAGAAAAAAACAAGAAGCCCTTAGGTTCGCAAGTGCAGATCCTGAAGCCCAATCCTGCAGAACCCCGAAGCCGAGCCTGGCTGCAGGGTATTTGGGGACTCGGGAGCCTTCCCGGCAAGGTAGCGTTTTCTTGTCTTTCGCAAGAGGAATCATAGCAAGAAGACTCGTAAGTATAAGGATAGTCAGACTTAAGAGCAGCAGCAATGATACCAATATTTCAGAACAGAAGCCTAGATGATGAGTAACGCTATTTCTCAAAGCCCCATTCTCATTGTAACGCCACTGAATCAATCCCCTGCATCCTAAACACCACCCCCCCTTGGGGGAAGCTCTACAGCCCCAAGCCGTAGGACCCAACAACCGGACAAGACCAAAATAGACCATCATCTACAGCCCGAAGCCCCCCAGCACCCTGGCTTCAGAAAGCAGCCCGACAAAGGGACGCTATAAGACCGATCCGAGCCAGGAGGATCCTCAGTTAGTTCCATGAACTGCCTATCTAAGTAGCTTCCTCCCTTCCCCAGAAGCTCAAGAAGCCTTGCATTTGGGGCTTTCGCGTCTACAGCGCCAGGCTGGCAGCGAGGAAGAGTCGGAGGAAGGCACGGCGGAACGCCTGAAGCGTTGGGTCGTCTGGTGACTCTGGTGTTAGGTTTCGATCAGTTGCAGGCTCGACCCCTTCGAGCGTGGGGGCAGTGATCACGAAGGTCATCGCGGGAGGTGGGGTTTCAGGTGGCAGGTGGTTCCACATCAGGGTGAGCATGCAAGGAGGCAGCAAAACCCAACGGAAAAGGACTGCCCTCTTACAGCCCCGAACTCCTCAGGCTGGAGCCTCGACTACATGCTGTGTTTTTTTGTGTTGGGAGGGCGGTTTCGGGTTCAGGCTTCAGGGTTTAAGGTTTAGGGGTTTAAGGTTTATTGTTTTAGGGTTTAAGGTCAAGAAGAAACCCAGGCAGCCCAAGGCCAACCACGCTGTTGCCCGCGCCAGGCAGCGAAGATGCGGAAATGGGCAGCAGCCAGGAGCAAGGAACCAAGGCTGCACCTCACTTTAGCGTCTAGGGTTTAGGGTTCAGGGTTCAATTTACAGTTTAGCGTTTGGTGGTTCCCAGATGTAAGGCTTGGGGTGCTGGGGTTTAGGATTCAAGATGTCCTTGTGGTCGTCCCCTACCTTTGTGCGGCCACGTTCGCATATCGGAAATCTGCGCGGTGCACACAGAACATGCACGCTATTGTAAAGAGTCGTGCCGATGAGGGTGACCAAAAAGCACCTGAAAAAGGCAAGAAAAGAGAACACTCACTGGGTGAACACCTTTTTCGGAAGCCCTGAGGCGGCGGTAACAAGATCGAAGCAGCCAAGCACAACAGCATCGTGGATGAGCCTCAACCGTAAGTGGTAGTAGACAGGGACCGGGTTGTGTTTCTTCAGCTCCTGCACATGTGCTCATTGCTCGCTGAAGCCATGAGCAGCCGAAACAGCCTGAAGGCCGAATGTGTGCAAGAAGAGCCCTCCTGTCTTGTTGAGCCTGCTATCAACCCTAAAGCCCAACACCTCAAACCCTAAACCCTATAAACCCTTGCCCAATACCCTAGACTCACCTATGACCCAGAACCGCCAACGCCCAAAGCCCCGTGATTGAGGACTGGCCACCTTTTTTGAGCTCGACCGCGGGCCTCTGCCAAAAGCGTTGCGGGTGCTACTTGCAGTGCCCTGCCCGAGCTGGGGGAGTCTCACGGGTGAGGGTTTATTAGGGTCTCTATGGTTTCCTGCAAATTCTTAAAGTCTGCATGGCTTAAGCGTCAAGATGAACTAAGGTGTTAAGGTTCAACGGTGGCCAAGTTACCTGGGGTATCCCTAAACCCTAAACCCTAAACGAGTACCTAGAAATTCAAATTTCGGTATACTCGAGTCCAAGGCGGTCATAACTTGGGTGCCGGATCTTCCGCAAGGCTTGGGGTCACTCAGGTAGACTTCAGGCTTCCAGAGCTTTAGGGTTGAGGGCTCTTTAAGACGCTTCGAGCAGCAGTCAGAAGTCATCACAGTTTTTTGTTCACGTTGGTTTAGGGTTCAGAGTTCATTTGGTGTTTATTTTAGGGTTCAGGGTTTCCAGTTTTGGAGCCTTTGGAAAGCCACCCCGGCTCGGGTCTTGAGACCTGGTGTCAGGATGTAGCTTGCCCTTGTTGGCTTTAGCTTTCGCGTGTAACCCTCACCCTCCAGGTACCTACTATTACATGGGGCCCAGGGGCTCTAGTACCCGGTATAGTAGGTACCCCGGGGGGTTAGGGTAACATAGACGCCACCATCCTCCACAGACACACAGAAACATCACAGCAGCGCAAGGGCAACAACAACCGGCGCAACATAAGCGGCAGCAGGACCGCCGTCGCCAGCTCCTTAAACGGTCATCGTCGAAGTTCCAGGTGCGGGGTATCCTCTGTGCAAGAAAGCACTCGCCAGGTATTGAGCCTGCCTACCTCCACTCTGGTCCGGGCACGTGCTGCGCCACCGGGGGTGCTCCAGCGCTTTCTTCGCAGGTGTACCTGGAGGGCCTGGATTCTCGCTGTCAGGGTTGAAGATTATTCAGAGGTTCGCAAAGTTTAATGTTGGTCGGTGTGAAGTTCACCACATTGGGGTTCTGGCTCAGGCAGGATGTTGAAGTGTTGTTGCAGGACCTTTGTGCATGTGGGTTGGAGAGATGACACATAACATAACCCTTTGGCCCAAGTCCCTACACCCAGCCCCCACGCCCCCAAGCCTCAGAATCCTGAGTAAGCGCAGAGCCGGGAGGAGAAACTTCCCTAGACCTTGGAATTCTCCTAACGCAGGACTCACTGAACGTACCGCTGAATTTGCTGGGGGCTTTCTTCCGAGTCCCAGGAACCTACAGCGACGAAAAGCGTCGTGCCACAGAAACAAAATGTCACTACCCCGCTTAAGGAGTTCGCAACACTCTTGAAGCCCTACATGAGCCCGAAGGTCGTCCCCCAAACATTGCATCATGACGGCATACCTTCATGAGCCCTGTAGACAGCCTCCTTGGAGGGTCTTGGGTGACCGCCACCTGCCTTCTACAGTCCTCTTCATCCCTACCCTAAACCTTGCAAACATGTCTCTTGGAGCCGCTTGAAGGATCTCAAGCCTATGGCAAACCCCAAAAAGTTGGAAACCGGGTTAAGGTCAAATAGTGCTGGGATTCCCTGTGCATTACTCTGAAAGATTGAGGTTATTGGGTTTCCAACGTTTGGGCTTCTACTCTATCCCCAAACCCCAAACCCTAAACCGATATAAGTAGAACCGGAACCCACACACCCCAAGCAGAGGCTAGATTCCTGAACTGACTTAAACCCAGAAGCGACAACCCTATCATGCCGTCTTACAAAAAACAAGAAGCCGATAAGAGTCTACACAGGTCTGAATATCCCATGAAGCCCAGAACCCTAACTCCCAAACCCAGAATCGACCCATTAGCCCTAAACACCAAGCCCGAAAAAAAAAATAAGGAAGCACACCCGAAACTCTATGAAAAGCCACAGAGCCTGGTTCAAATCCTCTAAAACCCACCAGAGATGGCACGTAGGTATCTTACATGCATGAAGGCCTTGAAACCGTAAACCCCCAAAGCCCTCAAAGATCCCGCACAAGCACTACACCCATACAGAAACCCTGAACGATCCTTTTTTCCACAAACCTGCAGCCAAAAGAAACACACACACACAAAAAAAAAATAGCTTCATGAATTAGAACTCTTGCAGTATCTCGTTTTGAACTTTTCTCAGATCCCTCTCAAAACCCCTGGAGGTCCTCTCGGTGGGTCCTCGAGCTCCCCGTGGCACGCCGCGCGCTGCGCGCGGCACTGCGCCGGCGGAGCTCGGCGGCGGAGGCCGCTAAGGTGTAGGGACTCGTTTCTAAGGGATCCCCTTGGAAGGGTCCTGCAAGGGCTACTATACGGGCCTTAAGCTTAAAGGAAGGGGGTTTAATTATAGAGCTGTTTGGTGATTTTGAGGGTTTGGGGATTTGCCCCTGTAAAGGGATGCAAACTCCGGAGTTACAGCTTTTGTGTCTCGATTTAGGCTTAGGATTTATCGAGCCTTTGAGGCTTGATTGATCGTATCGGGGCTGTCTTGGGTTGTGGGCGGGCTTATGTGGTTGTACGGGCTGGGGGTTTTAGACGTTCATGCAGATGATTTTTTTAACTATGGCTCAAAAGACTCAAAATCTAGGCCCTAAAACTCGTAGAATCAAGCCTTGCTTTTCCCTCCTTGGTCAACGTCTTCCGGCTTTCAGGTTGCAGGAAGCCTTAACCGTACATCCCACCCAGAACCACAAGGCGGCGGCCTTGTCTTCAAACTTCAGGGAGCATATCCTTTTTGGGATTACCTTATAGGATTCTAAGTATAAACCCACAAAAAGGAACTACTTAGGGGCCTATGGGTAGGGTTGTGCAAGGGCTTGGGGTTGAGATGTCTTGCCCTAAACCCCAAGTGCCCTAAGCCCTATAGACCGTCAGCAAGCGCATAGACCCTTGGGTCTTTTTTCATTGTAGCATCCCCAGAGCCCACATCTTCAAGACCTGAACACTCATTCTGGATACGTGGAGGGTTTAGTTGTTAGAGTTAAACAGGTGTTTTTCCTCAGGGCTCCTGAGTTCATATGCTGATAGTATGGAATTGCTGAAAACTTTGACTGAACTTTAGGCCCCTATAAACAAAAGCAAGATTAGACCAGTCCCATCTTTCTTACGATTACAAACATCGAGCCCAGACAACTTAAACCCTCAACCCTGAAAGCCCCCCCCCGCAACAAGATAATTCCCACTATACCTCTTAAAGCAGCCCTTCTAAGCGTCTAGGATTTAGTGTAGGGTGCCAAATAGACATAAACCCCTAAATCCCTAAACCCCTAAACACCTAAATCCTAAACCCCAAAACTTCTGACCGCTAAACCCCTAACCCCTAAACCTCTAAACCCCTAAACCCCTAACCCCTAAACCCCTAAACCTCTAAACCCCTAAACCCCTAACCCCTAAACCCAAAACCCCAAAGCTAAACCGGCACGCCCCCACAGAGGCCGCCGAGTTGCGGAGGCGCTGGGAGGCGGCAGAGCCTCCGCGGGAGAAAGCCGCGCTCGCGCTGCGACGCTTTGCTGGCACTGTAGTCCGTTGGTAGACGAGAGAGTTTAGATGGATTAAACAATAAGTCTTAATAAATAAATAAATACAATATATATATATGTATAGATATGTGTATATATATATGGTTATTAAATACATTCATATTTGTGTATATATATATATGTATGTATATCCATATATATATATAATATATAGATAGATAGATTGTTGTGGTTCAAGGGTTGTGGAGGCTTTCGAACTAGCTGCTTTTGGTCTCGGGGTTGTAGGATTAGGGGGAAGCCTTTTCGGTTTCGGGTTGTTTAGCGCTGAGGGCGTGTCTGCGGAGGAGCTGAGAAGTGTGCGAAATGGGATGTCTTCTGCATTCCTGCTGCCGGCCTCAACTCTCCTTTGAGTGTACTTGGACTTAGTTGAAGTTGGATGTCTACGTCTACGTGTTCTAAAACGTCACTCTCCTCACCGCTGGACAACATCACACCCCGACCTCGTGAACCCTCATCCCACGTAGGTCGGCACGTTGGGGAGTATATGAGTAGTTCTCTCAATTAGGATCCCTTTGGGGGTCCTTTTATGAAGGTGCCGTGCTACTAAAGGGGACCGAAAAAGGGGCCCTACTTTAGAGAACTACCCATATGATTATCTGGTACTCGGACCCTCAGAGCTTCAGGGTCTTGGGAGTAGGGGCTGAAGCTCTGGTGCTCGCCGGTCGTTCTCATCTGAGGAACCAGCGAGCAAGCTTTGCTAGACTCTGATCTGCAGTGGTTGGGCTAGCGGTTTAGGGGTTGAGGTCTTGACGGAACTTGAGTCGGTGTTCACCGGCGAGGCTTTCGGGGCAAGCTCGGTCCAGGGTTTAGGGACACGCTGTCCGATACAATGACATTGGTGGTGGCAGGGGCCACAGAAACTACTCAAACTCGCACAGAGGTGTGTATCTCGTGCTACTAGCTAAGCTCAGGAAACTGACCAGTCGAGCCCATTGATTCTGAATACCAGACTACCAAAGCCAGGTAGCACCATGGGACCATAGGAGCTTAAAGTGATGGTCCTAGAGATCTCCTGTGTGGCTGCAACCTCTAAGTGGAACAATACTATAGCTCAGCCTCCCCCAATGCGACCCTGGTCAAACGATCGAGCTGCCACCAAGCAAAATACCGGACGAGGGGACGACATCCTCTGGACCGTCGACATTGCTTTCCGAGTAGGGCTTGTTTAGATGCGTTGCGGGGTCCCTTATACAGAGGCACGAGTCTACATGTGAGGCGAGGCGTACATTGCACTACAGTGATCGCTGACTTGCAGAAGAAGTAAAACTTGTTATCTTAGTACCCATGTATGATATTACACGATAAGACAGTACTTAATCAATTTGTTCATCCCAATGCGACCTGAACCTGAACACAGCTGGCACAGGAGCATCTCCTCGATCGGGTCCGACAGCGCCCTCTTCTAAGCCGCAAGCGGCGCATGCTGATCTCACAGCGGCGCGTGAGAGGGAAGCGATCGATGCAAAAGGGTCTGAGCTTTTCGCCCAAACCCCAATAGACCCTATGAAGACATTCGGCATGTGTACAAGCATATAATATTACTCCCCAAGATGCTTCAACAGTCACTATAGCGTTTAGGGTGAGGGGGTTCGAGCCTGGGGCCCTGAGTACCTTCTTAAATCATACCCACCCAGATACTGATCCTGCTATCCTAAGTCCAAGTACCTATTTATTGGGCTTTTGGCCCAAGTACCGAAGTCTCTGGACTTCTAGAAAGCCTGTCATCACTTCCAAAAACCCTTTACTTCACCTTCAGAGGACTCCTGACTGCTGGACTCTCAGGCCCGGGATCCTAAAAGCCTACGATAAGTCCTTCGGCCCTCGTGCTTAGAGCCCTAAGCCCTAAACCCTAAACCCAAGCCCTAAGCCCTAAACCCTAAAGGGTCCTTTGGACCTTTGGGGGCATGTCAGGTGGTTCCTCAGCCAGACCTGCAAAAAGATCGCTGCTCGTCGGCATGTTGGGGCTAGTCTAGGCTTCATGTGCTTCAAGAGGTTTAGGGCTTTTGGAGTTTGTTTGGGCATTATTTTTGGAACTGGGGAAGTAGCAACGGAGATCACAGCAACAAGGCCGACCAAAGCAATGTTCGCCTCAAGGGTGAGTACAGTAATGACTCGACATAGCAGCGAGGTTGGTGAGAATCAAGATGGTGCTAACAACTGCGAGAATAAATCGCCAAAGTAAGGGCAGCAGCAATCGAAGCAATTATGCCCGTGGTCAGGGTCTGGGATATTGAGGTCCATGCTTCAAGGACCATTACCGACATCACCTGGCATTTCTTGTTATGGAGAAATAGGACACTGCTATGGTTCTGCTATCGTTTTTGTTCGCCAGTGCCTGT